GGGTATAGCTATCAGCCATATCTTCTGTGATGTTGTACTCTCTCTATTTCTCCTGCTGTTTGTCCCTTGTTACTGAGGAAATGTTGCCAGTCTGTGAAGCCCACTGTTTGAGAAGATCTACTACATAATGGTCTCTGGGCCGGCTGCTTTTCTGCACTTGGTATGGTATCATCATAAATTCAGCTAGCACTAAGGCAGTGATAACTTAATTTATATTACCTCTCACTGGATTTTCTTCATCATAATGTCATTCCGCTCAATTTATTAGCACCATTATCCTTTGTTTCAAATGGGATAGTGCCCATCTTTATTTTTGTTGGTTCCAAGATTAACATTGCCTGTCATATGTGGTTAAGCACATTTCCATAATAAAGAGGTGTGGTCATTGCTGTGCTGGGGATGTAAATGAGGACACAGGCCTGCTGCTGTTGCATTTGAAGTGCAATCCCCATTGACTACAATAGGTGAGTTTGTCAAATAAACCATGCCAAGTTAAATTTGCCGCTTTGGCATGTGTACAATCCCTTCCAGCTGCCCAATGGCCACTTTCTGCCTGTGTGACAGAACCCCTAATATTCAGCCTTCAAAAAATATCTTCTCTCATAAGTAGAGATGGACTGATCTGCTTGGGTTCAATTTGCAGGCACATTCTATGAACATGGCCAAAACAATCCCAAAATTGTGAACTTGAAATTGAAAATTGAAACTGAATTTGTAAAATTGGAAATGAAATCTTGAAAATCTATTCACTCTGTTTGCAAGGCTAATAAGCAAGGGGTTGCCAAGCGAAGGGCACTGGGAGCTGTGCACTGCCCTGGGGTGCATGTACCATTGCAAAAAAAATATTTTGAAAAATACAGTTCACTGGGGAGTAGTTTTTTATACCAATAAAACATGCACAATTCCTTTAATTAACATACTTGGGGGTGCCTTAAACCTGCCCTTTAAGTGGTGCAACTGTATGTGTACTAAAGAAAAAGTGACAGTTAGAAAGAATAAACATTTCTGTTTTCCCTAAATAACATTTCTTGGCTGGCTTTGTTCCCAATAGGCAAGGGATTGTAAAAAAAAAAAAAAAAATGATAAAAGGAGCTGGAAACTGCCAATACTGTTTAGTGCGGAGCAGCTCTTTTAGGACTCATGCACATTGGGTTTATGCATTGTATTGGGTCCTATAATGCAAAATATGTTTGTATTTTGGTGCACAGGGGCCACAGTTGTTGTTTACAGCTGAATATACAAATGAATTGGGCAGCACAGTGGCTAAATGGTTAGCACTTCCACCTGTCAGTACTAGGATTGTCAGTTCAAATCTCAACTGCAGCACCACCTGCCTGGAGTTTGCATGTTCTCCCTGTGCCCGTGTGGGTTTCCTCCCATACTCCAAAGACATGCCGCTAGGTTAATTGGATCCTGGCCCTAGTATGTGTATGTATGAATGTAAGTTTGGGACCTTAGACTGTAAGCTCCTACATGGATGTCTGCCCCTGGGTACAAAACTTTGGGATAAACAGAGCCTTCTTTTAGTAGCATTTAATAAACACTAGGTTTTTAAATTTTTTTACATATGAAGGAAAAACGCCTGAAAAAAATGTTTCCCTTACTTTCTAGAATACCTCCAAAATGATTCTATTTTGGAAAATCAACATACGAAGGTGATCTCATTTTTTGCCACAATATTTTGAAAATGAAAAAACATGCTGGAATTGAGGCGATAAAAAAAATAAATTAAGGTGAGCTTATCCTTTAAAAAAAACCAACTAGTGAAGCCAAGCGCAAGGTTTCTGCTATTAATGGAAAAAAGTTGAAAGGATGCAAGGTTCAAATTGCACTGCACTGAAATGGCATTGTGTGCCTAGGCTAGATGTCATGGACAAACTCAAAACATGTTAACACACACACCAATCCCACAATTATTGGCTGTCAGTGGCAATTTAAAAGCCCCAAAATAATCCCACAATCATTTCAGAGTGCATATTGCGATGGCGACCAGTGCATGTCATTCATTGTGATTGACTCGGATCTAAATCTTTGGACGATGTGACTGACAATTAATTTATGCTGTGGAGCATGCTTTTTTCATTTAATAAAGACTTTTTCTAATCTGTAGTGTGTTTAGTTACTTGTTTTTTTTTTTGTGAAAAAGTAACCAGGGCTATCCCTTACTTATTCACATTAAGGTGGGGCATATATTTGGAGGTCCCCCCTTATTTTAATGGGGGCTTCCAGATTCTGATAAGTTCTGATACGTTCCTATCCATGGACCCTCATAGACCTTGTCTACATCAACCTGGTGACAATGTACCCCCCGCCCCCCATGCTGAGGAAATGTACACCAAAATATATACCCATCTGAGATAGGGTTCTGGTATGGATTTGGGGGAACCCAACATTGTTTTTTTTTCTTGAAGAGTGTCATTGGTTTTCAGTGAGCACCATAACACCCAATGACTGTGCTGCCACTAGTGTCCTAGCGACCAAGGACACAATCGGCTGCTAGGATGCAGCTGGCTGGCCCGCATTCCGTGGTTACTAAGAAACAAGAGGCCACCAGCATTCTAGCAATCAATGAGGGGAGCAGATGCATGACCCTGAATGGGATGCTTCCTCTAAATGCATGACTACTTCCTGCAGCAACCCAATGCTGCACAAATATGCTATTTAGTTAATCCATTTGGCAAATGGTGGACAGCCACAGTTCTCAGTGAACTTTGGGCTACCGAAAAGTTGAATGCCATCTTTAAAGCGGAGTTCCATTCGCACTGAAAAAAAAAAAAGTCAGCAGCTACAAAAACTGTAGCTGCTGACTTTTAAAAAAACAGACACTCACCTGTCCCACGATCCCGTGGTGTCCTCCCTGCAGCCCGTTTCACCAGCCGTCTGGTGTTCCAGGTGCCGGCATCTTCAATGTGGGCATCCGGCTGTGACAGCTTGCGGCTTCACAGCCGGGGTGCCCACTGCACATACGCGAGCAGCACTGCGCTTCCTGAATGGCCCTGTAGTCTTCTGGGACCTGTCACATGTCCCAGAAGACAACGGGGAGGGAGGGCAGGAGGACAACTTCCACTTCCGATTGCCTAGGCGATCACAGGGGAAGTGGGAGTGGGTACCTGTCAATTTTGAGTACCCGCTCCCCAAGGGTGTTAATCCTTCCTTTACATCCCGGTAACATCAAACCCTACTTTGAAATCGTGCGACTTACAGTGATGTTGCACAATTTCAAAGTCAGGGGACATGCCGATTTCATGTGCGATTTGCAAGACATCTGATACAGATGTCTATGCAAATCGCACCAAAAGTAGTGCATGTACTACTTTAGAAATCGGTACGGCTCCAACCAAGTCAGAACCACACAGATATGACCGCTCTAATTGCAGACAATAGGCTGCGATTTGGCATGCGATTTGCAAACTGCATGCCAATTTGCATCCAGTGTGATTGAGGTCTTAGTTGGCTGGAGGGCAAGGAGCTACTTTTGCTAAGGTTGTAGCAACAGTGATTATGAAATGTCACTTTTCTTGCAACCCGCATATATAACTCTGAAAGATAATCATTGTAGCAGCTGGCAAGGTTCTTCTCATGTTTTTTGCACTTTATCTCTATATGTGCCTCAACAGTAAAGGTGGTGCCTGGAGAATGTACTTTTCTATCAATGGGGGGGGAAGCACAGAATCACCTAAAGTTCATGTAGTCTGATCCAGGTTCTTTTTTCATCACAACAGTAAATTCTCAAGGTGTCGCTGTTACTCATGAGGCACAAAGTAAGGCAGAGGGAAAAAATGCAATATGCAAAATGGGATACCAATGTTAAATACTTATATAGTTAGTATACTGAAAATGTTCAGAAGCTTTACATACAGGTATCAACTTCATGATATTTGTCCTTTAACCACTTCAATACTGGACACTTTTACCTCCTTCTTGCCCATGCCAATTTTCAGCTTTCAGTGTTGTCGCACTTTGAATGACAATTGTGTGGTCATGCAACACTATACCCATAAAATTTTTGTATAATTTTTTTCACACAAATGGAGCTTTTTTGTGGTATGTAACCACTTACCCGCCAGAGGATTTACCCATCCCCCCCCCTTCCTGACCAGGCCATTTTTTTTGTTATGGTGTTGCGTTACTTTAACTGACAATTGCGCAGTCATGCAACGTTGCACCCAAATAAAATTTACATCCCTTTTTTAACCAAAAATAGAGCTTTCTTTTGGTGGTATTTGATTGCCTGTGTGTTTTTTATTTTTTGAGCTATTCAAAAAGAAAAGACCGACACCTTTGAGAAAAAAACTATATTTTTTACTTTTTGCTATTAAACCCAGGACCCTGCATTCACTATATCTGGTCTCCCACACTACGCAGAACATGGAAATGCATTTTTGTTAGTAAATATAAACTGCTAAATACTTTTTCTCATCAGCAGTTAGAGCAGTCTTGTGACTTCAGCAGAGCACTGGTTAAAGCTTGTAGGAGGAGTTTTCTTTCTCTTCTAGGAGGATGTGAAACCCCTGACCCTCTGTCTGGACAGTGCTAATTGGCCCTGTGCTGATCACATGCACTCTACCAAGAAAAAAAACCCTCTCTAGCAATACACACTAAACTGAGCATGTGCAGAAGGGCTTCGGGTTCAGTCTGTCTTTTCAGCGTGGACACTTGAACAAGAGGAGGGGCAGAGAAGTCAGGATCAAGCAGCCTTTTTACACAATGCAGAGGATTAACCTATTGGGTTCCACAGTGAATATAACAAACATGCTTTACTGCATATACAGATTGATTTTACTGTTGAGGGTTTAGTAACACTTGAAACATGTCCAGTAAAAAATTTTATAAATAAAATTTCATCATAAATTTAGGCCAAAATGTATTCTGCTAAATGTCTTTGCTAAAAAAAATCCCAATACGTGTAAATGAATTGGTTTTCGTGACAGTTATAGCGTTTACAAATGGCGGTATATATACTGGGATTTTTTTTTTTTTTACTAGTAATGGTAGAGATCTTATAGCGGGACTGCGGCAGGCATTCTGACACTGGGGGGGAACTGACTTGGTGTCACTGACATCCCCAGTGACACCAATACAGTGATCAGTGCTAATAAAAACCTCTGACACTGTATTAATGGCTCTGGGCAGGAAGGGGTTAACATGTGGGGGGTAATAAAAGGGTTAACAGTGTGCTGTTTTACTGTGTGCTGTGTTAGTGCTTTCAACTGTAAGCACACTGTTTTGTATGGCTCTGCTATGCACAGCCACACAAAGCAGTGTGCAGGAGCTGACAAGGGAGAGAACTATATTGTTTACATACAGTTCTTTCCCTCTGTCAGTAATGCTCAGCGATCACTGGGTGCCGGTGAGTAATTACCAGCCAGGACCCAGCGATTAACAGCTGAGGCCGTAATATCGAGCGCGGGTAGGGTGCACGCACCCCATACCCAGAAATGCAAAATCACATATATACAGTGAGGAACAGAAATATTTGAACACCCTGCCATTTTGCAAGTTCTCCCACTTAGAAATCATGGAGGGGTCTGAAATTCACATTGTAGGTGCATTCCCACTCTGAGAGACAGAATTTAAAAAGAAAATTCAGGAAATCACATTGTATGATTTTTAAAGAATGTATTTGTCTTGCACTGCTGAACATAAGTATTTGAACACCTGAGAAAATCAGTGTTAATATTTGGTACAGAAGCCTTTGTTTGCAATTACAGAGGTCAAATGTTTCCTGTAGTTCTTGACCAGGTGTGCACACACTGCAACAGGGATTTTGGCCCACTCCTCCACACAGATCTCCTCTAGATCTGTCAGGTTTCGGGGCTGTCGCTGAGCAACGCGGAGTTGCAGCTCCCTCCAAAGATGTTCTATTGGATTTAGGTCTGGAGACTGGCTAGGCCACTCCAGAACCTTGATATGCTTCTTACGGAGCCACTCCTTGGTTATCCTGGCTATGTGCTTCGGGTCGTTGTCATGTTGGAAGACCCAGCCATGACCCATCTTCAATGCTCTGACTGAGGGAAGGAGGTTGTTGCTCAAAATCTCACAATAAATGGCCCCATTCATCCTTTCCTTAATACAGTGCAGTCGTCCTGTCCCCTTTGCAGAAAAGCACCCCCAAAGCATGATGTTATCACCCCCATGCTTCACAGTAGGGATGGTGTTCTTGGGATGCAACTCATCCTTCTTTTTCCTCCAAATACGATGAGTGAAGTTTAGACCAAAAAGTTCTACTTTGGTCTCATCTGACCACATGACTTTCTCCCTTGCCTCCTATGGATCATCCAGATGGTCATTGGCAAACTTCAGACGGGTCTGGACATGTGATGACTTGAGCAGGGGAACCTTCCGTGCAATGCATGATTTGAAACCAGGACGGCGTAGTGTTTTACCGACAGTGACCTTTGAAACGGTGGTCCCAGCTCTCTTCATGTCATTGACCAGCTCCTCCCTTGTAGTTCTGGGCTGATTCCTCACCTTTCTTATCATCAGTGATACCCCACAAGGTGAGATCTTGCATGGAGCCCCAGTCCGAGGGAGACTGACAGTCGTCTTTAGCCTCTTCCATTTTCTAACAATTGCTCCAACAGTTGATCTATTTTCACCAAGCTGCTTGGCAATTGCCCCGTAGCCCTTTCCAGCCTTGTAGAGGTCCACAATTTTGTCTCTGGTGTCTTTTGACAGCTCTTTGGTCTTGCCCATGGTAGTAGTTGGTGTCTGACTGACTGTGGAGTGGACAGGTGTCTTTAAAGAGCTCAGACAGGTGCTACTAAGTTAGATTAATGAGTGGAGTAGAGGTGGACTTTTTAAAGGCACAGCAACAGGTCTTTGAGAGCCAGAATTCTTGCTGTTTCTTAGGTGTTCAAATACTTATGTTCAGCAGTGCAAGATAAATAAATTCTTTAAAAATCATACAATGTGATTTCCTGATTTTTTTTTTTTAAATTCTGTCTCTCGGAGTGGGAATGCACCTACAATGTGAATTTCAGACCCCTCCATGATTTCTAAGTGGGAGAATTTGCAAAATCGCAGGGTGTTCAAATACTTCTGTTCCTCACTGTAAATAACATTTCTTCATACATTTTGGTCAAAATGTATTGTGCTACATTTCTTTGGTGAAAATACCCCAAATTAGTGTATATTATTTAATCTGTAGGAAAGTTATAGAGTCCACAAACCGTGGTATATATGTCTGATAATCGATCAGTCCTGATGTACTGACGGCCCGTTTCATTTCCTGAGGCCCGAAAATGCCAGGATAGTACAAATACCGCCCAAATTACCAATTTCTGGAAAATAGACAGTGCAAGGTATTTAGTAAGAGGCATGGTGAGCTTTTTGGAGGTTGTAATTTTTTCTTACTATATTTTTTGGAAAATGTAGAAATTTTAAAAAATAAAACACAATTTATATATATATATATATATATATATATATATATATATATATATATATATATATATATATATATCACATTTCAATACATTTAAAGTGATTTGTAGGTAGCTGTTTACAAGAAATTTGTTCATTGTAGGCATTTGTGAGAGATGTATATACAAGCATATTGTAACTTCAGTTTATGTGTTTGTATTGCAGCTTTACAAAACTATTCACAGAAGTAAATTCCGTTTTGGGATGACATTCTGTAAATTTTGTTAGCTAGCAGTTGGCTAACCATTAGTAGGAAAGCATAGTAACATTTATCATTAGAAAGCTGTCCTTGATCTCTGGAGAAGTACCTGTGCCTAGGCTAAGAAAAGGAACCTGGTAATGATGTTATCAGTCAGCTGCAGGCAGGAGGAAGCATTTCCTCAGTCTTCTCTACCCTAGTGATCAGGCTGAAACATTGTAACTTTGTAGCAAATAAGGTGAGACTGCAGCAGGGGGTTAAGCTGCACTGGACATTTGTGAACACTGCCAAGAACTTTACAGGCACCAGGCATTGCATGTGTCATCTCTGAGCCAACATGTTAGCCCAAAAAGTAGATGTCAACCCTAGACAAAACCTGAATAAAATCGGTGCTGTTCTTCTTGAAAAAAGCAGATAAAGACATTGCTATTGTGGTGGTGTAATGGCCTCCAAAGTGCACTTCGGGGGCTGGATGCAGCTTTTGAGGCATTTTCTTCCTCCACTGACAGCAACAGTGGGGCAAAGTTCCTGCCATTGTCACCTATAATGGAGGGGCACTATTCCTCCTATTGACACCAATGACAGGGCACTATTCCTCTCATTGATATCAATTATGGAGCACTATTCCTCCCACTGACACCAATGATGGGGCACTATTCCTCTCCTTGATACCAACAATGGGGCACTATTTTCCCACTGACACCAATAATCTGGCAATATTTTTCCCTCTAATACCAAAGATAGGGCATTGTTTACTCCCACTGACTTCAGGACACTTTCTACTCCCACTGGCCACAGTTAGGCCCCCCTAAAGTCTGAAGGACAGTAAACTCACCCTTTGTTTGGAAAGTTTGGAGACTTCTGGGCTAGACCACTGGATAGTTCTTTCTCATGCATCAGTATTGGCCCATCACTGTGACAAAAACAGCAGGTAAGAGGGGATGGGCCTGAAATCTGCCTGCACAGATAAAGATGATATGAGTTGTGAGTGTATGGATTACAATTCAATTTATTGAATGCCTCCATAGTTTGTTGGGTTATGAAATTGTTATGTTCTAATCTTAGAATTTTTATTATTTACTGCTTAAACCAGAACGAAGCATTTTTTGTCATAAATTATAAGTGAATCTATAATTCCAAAATGGAAAAACTAGGAGAAAACCTGCAGATCTCAGAAAAGCTGAGGAATGTCCTATGCTTTAACTACTTGCCTGATCATGAGAAAAGCACCTCTGTTTTACCATGCTGCCAACTGCAAGAGCATCGCAGCCTGAAAGGCTCCTTACAGTTACTTCCTATAAAAGGATCATTGTGCTTATAAGGGATTGAGCTCAACCTAAGGCTCTATCAGCCACATGCAAAATGTCTTCAAACAGATTCAAGATAACACTATCTACTAGAGCACTGCTCAGCCAGTACAGGCTTAGAAGGCTATGAAAGTCTGATTTAACCCTTTCTGATTTGATAGCAAGGAAGAATCTGCACATTCCTTACAGACATTAATTCTATTAACTGTTTATGTTCTAAAAGTGGGATTGCATGACTAAGGACTAGTTCACATGGTGACTGGTGTTTTTTCACACTGGATCAATGCCATCCTGAACGATTGTCTTCTATGTGCCCATTGACATTGCAACACAGCTGGAAGTTACAGTGTAGTGAGCTGCAGTAAAATGCAGACATATAGCATTTTACCCAAAGGCGTAGCTTCAGGGGTCATGGGGGTCACAATTTCAACCCCGCCTGTGCTCCAGGGAGCCTGTTCGGCCTTATTGCTAAACTGGTTGCCTTGGCTCTAGTGGAGGGGCAGTTCCTGGATGGTGATGCCATTGGGCTTATGAATTAAAGCCATGCCCAGTGCAACTTTTTCACAGAACTGCCAAGCTATCAGCAAAGGAAGTTCGAACCTTTCCAGCCTGTGCGACCTCCCTGTATCACATATTTGCCAGCACACCATGGATTGTCAATTGTTGTCCGAAGCTTTTATTGCAGAAAGATCACATCATGAAGGCATCAGTGGGAAGGGCCCCTGACGTGGGTCAGGGGGGCCCTTCATAGTTTCTTGCACCAGGGCTCTGAAGGTTATATTTATGCCTAATTATGTAAATTGATTGAAATAATAGGGAGAAGAGATGATAGCTGTTTATATAAAATTCTACTTTTTGAAAACAGGACATTAGCAGAAGCAGAAGAAGCAACACTCTTATATGAGAATTCCTGTTAGTATAAAAATGACAATACACATATTTTTGCTGATTGCAAGTAGCATCAGCACCTTAGGGAAAAGACTATAAGGCCACATTTTTTTCTTGGAATAAGTGGCAGACCTACCTAGTAGCCAATCACTAGGCCCAGAGTCATGTCACATGACAAATGAGGTGATGCCAGCACTCCTCAGAGTCTCTGATATCAGGCAACCTTTCAGATTTTGGTGCCAGCTGGACTCCAAGAAAGATTGATCGGCAGCAATGATGGGCACTGAAAGGTAGCACTGATGGGGCTGCGCTGATCATCAGGGCTCTGATAATCAGTGCCCTGATTACACTGTTCAACAAATTTTTATTTTTTGCCAGTTTTGGAAACAAAAGGATGCATTTCTTAATGAATTTCACATTCTGAGTTCAAATAGAACAATGAAATTTGTCAATTGGCTCTAGTTTTTCTGTAAACGGAAAGTTTTCTACTATAGGCGTAATAACTACATAATGCACAGTAATTATATAGATAGATGTCTTTCCACAAATATAAAGCAAGTGATATTGACTACATAACAAAGCCTAAATGGCATAATATATTGCATAGGATTACCAAGAAAAATTATAGCC